TGCCTTCAGGTGACTCTAGGCTGTGTAAGGTTGACAGCTGAAGCTAACCAGGACAACTTAGTAAGGAAATTACAAATTAATTTGCCTTCATGCTATAGTGAATCAAAGCAGTCACTGGCAAAGAAGATGGTATGTGTTTGAATGAATGCATGCACAGAGACAAGGACTGTGGAGTCGGGTGTCATTTAAGGAGCCAGATTTTGCACCTATGCCTTTATTGGCTTCTGGGATATAGTCTCCTAGACTTTGTCCTGCTAGTCTGTCTTTAAGGTACTTACACTGCTTGCTTTCTGTCCGAGGAGCACCTCTATTTTCTACTGTACTGCATAGAATTCTGTTCTGTAACTCAAATGTGAATATGATGATGACTCTTTAGTCATTCTTACAGCTTTAGATATTTGTCCTGAGTTCATATACTCAATATTCTGACTATATTGAGATGAAAGACAATTAAAAGTTTTTTCCAAGACCGTTCATTCCCTTATCCATTGTATATTCATGCTTAGTATTGTCTGTACATTAGGCTTTTTGTATATGCTTGCTGTCCTAGTTTGCTTTTTTATTGCTATGATAAGCTCCATGACTGTAGCAACTTCGAGATAAAAGACTTTATTTCATCTTATAGCTTATATTATATCCCATCATGAAGGGAAGTTAAGTCTGGAACTCAAGGTAATACTCTAGTTGCAGGAACTGAAGCAAAAGCCATGGATTGTACTCCATGGATTGCTCAGCTTGCTTTCTTACGTAACCCAGAACTACTTGCCCAGTGAAGGCACATACATGCGCGCGCGTGCGCGCGCGCGCGCGCGCACATACACACACAGAGAGAGAGAGAGAGAGAGAGAGAGAGAGAGAGACACGCGCGCGCACACATACACACACAGAGAGAGAGAGAGAGAGAGAGAGAGAGAGAGAGAGAGAGAGAGAGAGAGAGAGAGAGAGAGAGAGAGAGAGAGAGAGAGAGAGAGAGAGAGAGAGAGAGAGAGAGAAGTTCCTCCCACATCACTTACTAATCAAGGAAATGCCCTAGATATGACAGAGGACAATCTGATGATGGCATTTCCTCAGCTGTGATTGCTGTTCCCATCTATGACTAAGATTGTGTCAAGGTGACAAAAACTACTCAGTGTACTTTCTGAATGATTGAATAACTGGTAAACCTACCGTCTTTCCAACTCCTACAACTTACTCCATGTCTTAATCAGCTTTCTATTGTTGGAAAAACTACAGAGATAATCAACATTAAAAGATTAAAGATTTATTTTTCCATACTATTTTTCAGATTTTTTAAAAATCAATTAGTTATTTGACAACTTGCACAAATGTACATAATACATATTGGCCACTCTCACACAGCCATATCCTCTCCCATCCCCCTACTACCTCTTCCCAACAAATTCACATCTGTTTGTCTTGTTTGTGATCTACTGAGTTTAACCAGGGCTGTCCAAGTGGCCGTGGGTTTGGACCTATCCATTGTAGCTTGTGGTAGGCTCAGCAGTCGATGTTTGACTGGTGACAATGAGTCTTCCCTTTCTAGACACTAGAAAGAGCCAGTAGTTCAGCAGTCAGCCCACTGCCTAGTACATAACATCTGTGAGTGTGTTGTGTTACAGTAAAGGAAAACTTGCCACACTTGTTGCTTATCAATTGGAGAGCACCTTGGTGGAATTTGAGTTGTGGATCACCGGAGTCTGTGAGCGCTTTCCACTACCATAGCCCATTGTTGGCAGGGCCTGCCTTATACAGGCCCAATGCAGGTAACTACAGTTGTGTATTCATGATTGCAAATGGGTATATGGAGTCTAGAGGTTGGCATTTCACAGCCCTTCAGTGTATTTCCAAGCCCTTACATACTTTCATGGAGTTTCCCAAGCCTTAGAGTCTTCTTTGTGTAAATGTGTAGTTTAGGGCTGAGTCCTCAATTGTCACTTATTCTTAGCGTCTTGGGCATCTCTATATTTATTGCCAATTCTCTGTTAAGAGAGGCATTTCTCATTATAGCTCAGGGTTTTTGTCTGTGAGTCCAAACATATATTTAGAAGGCAGCTTAATAATGTGCATTTAGTTTGCTCACTTAAGGATGGACTCACCCACCATGCTAGGTTCTAGGCTTATAGTACCAGGCATGGGTTCTCCGTGGAGCAGTCCTCTCATCTAGTCAGAGGGCAGTTCCACAACCCCAACAACAGTCATGCTATTATTACACAGGTTTCAGTACATTGCCCTTTCTGCTTGTGAATCTCTAATGAAGTCTCATAATGGCAGAAGCGTGTGGCAGAGGAAGCCCATTCTCCTAACAACCAACACCAAGAGAGACCATGCCCCCACCAAGCTCCCACTGGGCTCCACCTTATAAAAGGGTCCACCACCATCCCCTAGCACCTTGGATAGGGACACAAAACCACATTACCTGTGCCTTTGGGAAACATTATATACCTACACTTCATCCTGGTGTTAACAAAATCAATTATTTACTGGTCTATAACCTTCTTTAAACTTCATGGATGCACAAATAGTTCTTATTCATACTGGTAAGCCCAGCACAGTGTTCAGTGCTAAGTAATTCATAAACCAGTTGCTTAATTTCATGTCCTTGGGCAACCACTGTCCTTTTCTGTCTGTGCATTCCTGATCTATTAAGTGCTAACAATCACATTGTAATGATGAAACAATTCTGTTCTCAATTTCCTTTAACTTTTCAACATACAAAAAAGTCCATAGATGTGTAGTTGGTCTTGTGTGTAGGATTTTGTGTGTGTGTGTGTGTGTGTGTGTGTGTGTGTGTGTGTGTGTGTGTGTGTGTGTGTGGTTTTGTATGTGTGTACATGTGTACAAGAGTGTACAAGAGTGAGTATGGTAAGAAATGGAGAGATGTAAGAAGTCACAGATTAAAATAAATATACCATGACAAATATTTTTAAAACTATGGATTCAACTACTTTTCATTCTGTATATTTTACTTGATTAATTTAACAAATCCTTTTTTATATGCTGAGAGCCATCTAGTATACTGATAAATTATTTAATACCTGTTTAACTTATTTGGTGTTAATCTCTGTTGATGGGAGATGTTATTCTGTATATGTTTCTCTTATTGGTTGATGAATAAAACACTAATTGGCCAGGTGGGAAGATAGGCGGGGCTAGGAGACGAGGAGAATTCTGGGAAATGCAAGCAAAGAGGAGCAGCATGTGAGCCCAGGGAGAGAGGACGTGAGTCAGGCATTCTCTGGTAAGATAAGACCATGTAGAAATACATAAATTTGTAGTTATGGGTTAATAATTAAGACAGAGCTAGCCAATAAGAAGCCTGAGCCACCGGCCAACAGTATTATAATTAATATATGTCTCTGAGTGTTCAGGGAACTCACGTAACACTCTATAAACACCAAGTGTTGGAAAGCAAAAGGAAAGGACAAGTATGGATCTGTGTTGTTTATAACCCTAAAAAACTCAGGTAGCAATTTTGTTAATGAAAGGGACAGTTTTTAGTAACTAGCTAAGACTTTTGCTGAGCCGGGTGGTGGTGGTATCTGCCTTTAATCCCAACACTTGGGAGGCAGAGGCAAGAGTATTTCAGTGAGTTTAAGGCCAGGCTGGTTTACAAAGCAAGTTCCAGGACAGCCAAGACTATAACATAGAGAAACCCTATCTCAAAACAAAACAAAACAAAAGTTTTCCTGAAATATGTTTATTACAAATGGAAAACACTTCAAACAAGGTTCCACTCAGAGATCCTCCAAAAAAGACTCCAAATTTAATGAAATTGTTCAGGATTAAGGTTGAAGAAGAAATCTAATCTAAAGTGGAGCTCACTTCCCAGTATTCTCTAGTAACTGACTCATGGTTTGTATTTCCACATTGTGAATTGGAGCTGAATCCATGTTCCTGTGTGGTGGGTATTATTAGGAAGTAAAAGGAAAGAAAAAAAATGTTATAGACAAGTAAATTGTCATCAAGATAGATCATTTTTACAGGGAGTTCAATACATTTGAAATAGGCTATCTCGATGGAAGACTATTTTTCTGAAATGGTGTAGCAATTATCATGGGAATGGGACTCATTTTACGTTGTTTCACTCACCCAGTGCCTCATGTTCTTACACCTAACCTTGCCAAGTGAGTAGAGCCATAGGCTGTCATAGTTGCTCAGATGTTAGCTGTTCCCATACTACACAAGTGTGAGACTCAGTCTGAAGAATTGGTATTTTATTCATATTGTCAGTAATTGTGCCTTGGACCTGCTCAGGGCTTAGTTGTTAGCAGGGACTACATAGCTTTGTGTGGAGGCAGTGTGCTAGCACACAGCAGCAAACAGGAGTGAGACTTCCCTTTACATCCTAGGTGGTGAACATGAGAGACTAAGAGAAAACCTTATTTGTATTTGAGATGCAACACATGTTTTGTGATTAAAAATGCTTTTCATGTGAATAAGTTAGTTCCTCGTATACCTTCGTGAGACCTGTGCCAGATGGATTATGTCCCATTCTACAGTGGCTTCGAGAGTTTTTACACTCATTTATTGCTTTAAAATGTCTGGATGACTCAGTGCTTGAGGGTTTATGCATACATAATATGATACAGTAGATGAAAGGGTTTCATTCTCTTTGAGGTCTGATTTCCAGATTTTCCAATTAGTAACTTTCCCATTTGAAACCCTAACCCTAATCCACATTTAAGAAACTGCTTTCTGTGTAGTCTAAGAGCAGAGAAACAACAAAGTGAACTGTGACCGTCTCTTTTCCACTTAATTGTCTTTTCACTTACTAGCCTTAAAGCCGTTTTCTAATGACAAAAAAATGTATATACTTTCACTCAATTATAAGAACTAATCGTCTTGGAGAAGACAAGATATCAACAGGAGTTTGATAAACAGTATGTGAATTATCCAGGCAAGGTGCTATAGATGTTAAAAGAGAAAGGAAGCACTTCTCCTATAGTGGTCAGTGGAGACTTTGGAGAAGAATTCAAAATTTGTATGTTGTAGAATAGGACATGGGTAAGAAAGAAATCAGCACTTTCTAGACATCTCCTTGGCTGAAGGTTACAGAGGTGGAGTCCATTATGGTTTTCTGAAGGGACCCTGAGCAAAGGGTGTGTGTGTGTGTGTGTGTGTGTGTGTGTGTGTGTGTGTGTGTAGGCACATGCCAGGGGAAGCATGTGTCAGAAGAAATTGGGAAATGGGAGACATGAAGCATTAGGGACATGGAAGGCAGAATGCCCGCCATCTGCGCCTGCCTCCATGGGAGATTTCAAAAAGAGAGGTTCTCGGGCAAAGCTATGATGTGCCCAAGAGGAGACCCATTTACATGCTTTAAACATGAAGACTTCTAGAGTGAGCATGGAAAATGCTTTCCAGTGTTTCGGGAGGTAGCAAACCTGAATGTAGAAACTGAAGAGTTGTGGAGGCGAAGGTGCTGTCAGGGTAAACGGAGTATCAGGGAAGATGATATGCAGTGGATATAGCAGTAATGTCCTTTCCCATTTGTTTAAGATAATATGTAAGCCAAGGAGAGCAGAAACACACTCCCAACCCCATCAAGCTCCCCAGTGTTGAAAGCTCCATTTCATAGAGTGAGCACCACACAAAGTACCATAGAAGTGTGGGGCTTCTGGATCTATAGTTGCAAATCCTTGCAAACAGGTTTGATTCTGATGAAGGAAAAATCATCCTTACAGCTATCTTAATTAATTTACACAGTTCTAATCAGACCTTTAATATATGGTGCCCACTTGTGCGGGTATAGAAGAATATATGAATCACACAATATAGGTTTTATATTATATGTGTATGCCGTTCATTTAGTTGTTCCCTTTAAACCATTTAAACGGTGTCTTTTCTAGTCCGTTAGACTTTAAATATTTGTGGGTAAAGAGAAGGCCTCTCTGTTGGTCTCAAACCTATTGGTGCTTACTCTGTAATGTATTGACTGGTTTATTCAATAATTCAGAGATTGTATTTGTTGAAAAATAGGATTAAGAGTTCTTGAGAACATGCTATGTTGAAGAAGAAAATACACAGAATTATTATTGGAATAATTAAGGCATTCATGGGAAATTATGGGAGCCTAGGAGACAAACATTTGATCTCTGTTATGTGGGAGGAACCATGGTAGATGTGGGTCAGGGAAAGGACCTCACATAGTTCACCAAGGAGTTGAGTCTGAAATCATATGTGGTAGTTGCTATGCAAACAATGGGGAAGGGAAGAAAAAAATGGTGTTACTGGGAGCAAAGAAACCCTGTGCATAGAAGATCATATATGCAAGAAACAGTGAGGCAGTTTAATATGGCTATAGCACTAAGTGGAGGTAGAGTGGGGAAAATGGTATAGGGGAGGGTGTCCCTGGAAGGACTAGTGTACAGTGTACAGACAGGAACTATTCACTGCTCAGAGGCAGGGAGACTCTTGAAGTATGGCTATAGCACTAAGTGGAGGTAGAGTGGGGAAAATGGTATAGGGCAGGGTGTCCCTGGAAGGACTAGTGTACAGACAGGAACTATTCACTGCTCAGAGGCAGGGAGACTCTTGAAACATTTTACAGAGCTGTGGTTTGCCAACAGTGCAGTCTTCAGTGGTCATTGGGAGAATGCGTATAAAGGAAATGAGACATTTTGGCATCTAATCCGAAAAGAAAACATTTGGGACCTCAACAGGAAGTTGTAGAAATGGAGAAGGTGGAGAAGGGAAGACAGAATCAATAATTGTCTGTAGAAATCTGGACCTGTCAGAGGTTCTGGGGAAGGATCAGGGATGGTATTTGGTAACTAGCTGACGTGCCCCTGGTAGCTGACGATGAGTTCTTCTTGGGAAAAACAATCTGGAAGAGACTAGAGTGAGCTTTTTTATCTTCAACACTCTGAAGTTTCTTACATGCCTGTGATATATTTAGAACTATGTTGAGTTAGTTAATGTGAGCAGAGATAACTAATTGGAAAGAAATATATCACTTATGGTGGTCACCTAGCCATATCTCCATGTGAAAGACGAAGGGAATGGATTCACTCATTATGTTTGTCACTCATATTGTGTGCTAATCCTTGGGTCTGTATTCTCTGTTCACATGTTTAACTACAGCCCAGTGCCACAATGTCAGTGGATAACCAGGAATTTTATCACTGGGAAAAGCTTGTATTTGGCTTGTTCTCATTTTGATTCTCTTGCATTTAATTCCTAGCACCTTCTACTGGAAGAATTACAAACAGTGCGACTTCTTCAGGTACAAGAGTACCTGCAAACTCAGCTGTGGGGGCGCCCCAGCCAAGTGACCAAGACACACTTGTGCAGCGAGCCGAGCACATTCCAGCAGGGAAGCGAACTCCCATGTGTGCCCACTGCAACCAAGTCATCAGGTCAGTCAATTAGTTTTGAAGTTTTCTTCAAAATACTTAATAAAATGTGGTTATTTTTTTAATGTTCTGTAACATGTATAATCTTATTAGTCAAAATATTCTTGCTACAAGTCTGAATGATAGGATTAGCATGTATAACCATATCAATTTTAATGAAAAGTTACCCCAGGTTTCCTGAAAATAAAACTAAAATACTGATTTTGTCAGTTACTCGTTTCTACCAGATCTAGAAAAATAGTCATTAGTAGCCCTTCAGAAATAATTAAAATTATAAGGCTTGAAGGGACCCTGAGATCATTTATCTCAACCTTATTATTTTATAAGTTATACAAACGAAGACTTTTCATTTACTTGAAAAAATAACTTATAACATAAAAATAAAAAGAACTTTGAGCCCTGGAGAAAAGATTAGCCTTTACATACAGAAGCAGTGACAGTAGACCTTTGTATTTCTTTCTTCTCAAGCGCCTTAAGATTTAGAATGGGTTAGTACCCTCATCTTTTGAGGATTTTCCTACCAGATCTATTTTATTGTCTCTTAAATTCCAAAAGGGGGGAAATGCCCAGAGATCTTTTAATCATATTGTCCTGGAGCTTATTAAATCTCGGCATCCTTATGAGTGGCTTTTAAAGTGTTATGAGGTGTGTATGTGGATGCTGGTTGCAGACATCTCACCAGAAAGACCCTATTGCCTCTTTGTGGGTTGCCTTGTAGGCAGTAAAAATAGTTGCTTGAAATTATTGCTTACATTCTCTTCTTTTTAAACTGACCTGTTTGGAAACATTTGAAATAGTGAGACCTATAAAGGCAAGTAAGCTTAGGACTGAGATTTCCCTTTTTGCTGTTACATTAATATTTTTTAGCATTTTATTTCCAGGCCACTTTTAATACGGAAGATAGGATGCTCCAGTGATTTAAACACAAAGTATAATAATATTCCTCTTAACCTATCAGTAATGGATACCATGTCAAGAACACAGTACACAGCACAAGATTAAAATAGATTCACACTTTTATTTTAAAGATGTGCATTATGTACTCTAGACTGACCTCAGACTCACGGTGATCCTTCTGCCTCAGATTCTGAAGAGGTACAATTCTACTTGCGAACCACCTCGCCCAGCCTAGTTTAGACTTTTTAGCATGCACATAAAAAACAAATATTGTCTTATAGAAATGGAATAGATTTTTGTTATTTTTCATGTAAATTATAATTTTATCTTCTTCATAAAGAATGGGTGCCTAAACAGCATTTGAACAATGACAAAACCAGCAGCTATCATGGAAGAGGGAAATTTCACCAGGCCTGGCCCTAGATGAAGCATTATAGCCAACTAATGATTGCCAAAAGCGGGAGAATTAGTCCTCAGAGATGAGCCCCTAATTGGTTATTCAATACTAAGTGGCCAGCCCTGAAATCATGTACATATAATAACACTAAACAGACTCAGCGTGGTGTGTGTGTGACAATAAAAAAGAGGTCATGAGTTTGAGAGAAAGTGGGGGGGGCAGTACATCGGAGGAGTCAGAGGGAGGAAAGGGAAGGGGGTAAATGATGCAATTGTATTTATTATTATTATTATTATTATTATTATTATTATTATTATTATTATTATTATTTGTAAAGAGAATTATCCAGTAGCCACGGTGGTAGTAAAAATGATTCTTAAGAGAAGGGCCAGAGCAGTGGAGGTCTCCAGTCTAGGGCAGCGTAAATTGAGCAGAACTGGGACATGCCTCAGCATTCAGTCAACCTAGTTTTGATTGGTTAGTCATTTTCCTACAAGTTTCTGTAGGGTTACTGTTTTACCGAAATAATCTACATAAAATCTAGTGTAGCACTGCCTTATTCTAATTAGTAAAACAGTGCTTTTAGTTACTGCCTCTACTTAGTTAAATTTTTAGATTTAATGGTAATAAATATAAACTCTGACATGTAACAAGGTTCTACAAGTTACCTTACTGTGGTTGCCAATACTGGTGCTAAATGATACGGTATTCCAAATTATAACATCCTTTGTGGAAACAAATGTCACTGTTTCTGTGTGCTATTGTAAGCTGTTGCTTAATACACTAGAGTGTCAAAGCATGTCAATTGCTAATTCATGTCAGTTGCTAATTCATATAGGAGAGCAACATCAAGGCTCTCCTATAATCACAACTTTTAGGGCCTCTTTTTAATATGGTGAAAATAGGAAGCTCAAAGCAGAAACACTGAGCACCATTTCTTCTTGCCTTAGCCAGATTTATTGGTAGACTGAGATGCTTGCTTTGATGTACAGATATTCTGTTTTATGAAATAAATACATGTACAGCTAATGGGATGAATGGCCGCCACTAACTATCCCCTCATCTGCTGAATTTTACATTGTTCTGTATTATCCATCTCTTGGTATCATTTAAGTGTTGAAGCTTCGATTACTATGGAAGTTAACAGGAATGGGGATTAGCTCATGTCAAGATCATGTAACAGTAAATAACATAGCACTTTTGCCTGGTGCTCAAGTGCTACAGCAGCTTGCATACCCTGTAGTCGGATCAGAGCCCTGGTCAAAGCATAAATCCAGTTCTTGCCCTCGGTGTCAGTTTTACTTACCAAAGCAAGAAGGTGTTGGATCAAGTGACATTATCTGGGACACCTGTTTTTAAAATGAGCCGCAGTTGTAGGCATACTACTTTCAACAGAATATTATACCCTGGCAAACTAAGAAGTATAAAGTTGAGTTTATGTTGTTAGGATCACATTAGCTATTTTTTAGAAGAGTTGGTTGTTTTCAGAAGATGTAAAAATCTGATGTTAGCAACTGAAGTGATTCATAAGGTGCACCTACCCATACTTGATTTTTCATTTTGTCTTAATATTTAAGTTTTTATGTTTATTTGAATCTTGAGAAGCTTATGGGTGTTATCCCTAACTTATATTTAAAGGTATATACTTGGACTGGTTACAAATGCATAAGGTATTTTATTTAGGAAGCTTTTTTTTTTTTTGAAGCTTTCAGATTGTGATAGAACATTTCTAATGCAACTAGGGTTGAACTAACATTTCTTCATCTCTCATGTGTATATATTGACTGAGTACAAGTGTTAAAGGGGCCAATGTAGCCCAGGCCAGGCTTTGTTTCCTGATGGAGCAACAAGCATATGAAGGACTTAGCCTTCCTAAATCTAACATATTGTGTCATTAAAATCAGTTGCCATGCACGTTGCACAGGGTTAACTGAACTGCTCATGTTTATATTATATTAGTGTCCTAGGTTCTGAGAGAGTCAGGATTGGTGATGCTTGGGTTTCCTCCTAGATATAGAATGTTAGTATTGAGTAGTAGTCATGCTTCTGTCGTTCGTCTTCGCCTGCAGCACAGTACCAGAGCCACGTTCAGGCAACTCCGTGTGCATTCCATAGAGAAAAGGAATTTTTGTATTACTGAGATGTTTTGCTCAGTATTTTTCAAGCATTTTCTTAAGGAGAGCTGTCCTGGGTTACCCCTAAGAGAATCATGCTTTTTTTTTTTTTCCTACTGCACCATCCATTTCAATCCCTGAACTCCTTTTAACTCCTTTATTTATAGGTCTTTTTTATTGTCCCTTCTGGTTCAGATTTTATTTGAAAATAAAAGGTTTCCTGGCTTAATGTATCAGCTGCTGAATTTAAGAAAACAACTGAAAACATTGGCCAAGATTTATAAGCAAGATATAAACCGAGATTTTATTGTTCACTATACAGGAAAAAGAGAGAGAGAGAGAGAGAGAGAGAGAGAGAGAGAGAGAGAGAGAGAGAAGGGAAGAGTCTAGCATCTATATTTGCAATACAATGTCACCCTTACAATCCTCTTTGGAAGACAGTGTTACAGATGTTGTGTATTTTACCCAAATGTTCCTTCCCACCTTGTGATTACGTTTGCTCTTGATACTGTGTATCCCAGGTGAGGAGCCTGAAGCACAGACAACTCACACATTTGTCAAAACTGCTTAGATTGTAAATAACAGTACCCAAGTTCTAGTTCAGATCTGTTTAACTCCATTTTATTCATGTCTATCCCAACCATTCTAGGAGAATGCTTACACATATTAAAATGACAAAAGAAATATAGAACTATAAAATAAGGATCAAACAAAATTAAGCAAAATAATAATAAAGCCAGCTCTTTATTAAATATGACTGATACTGCCTAAGAGCTTTATTGGTATTACTCTACTGTGTCTTTAGAGTAACTCCATGAGATGGAACCTTATATGGACAAACTCTCAAAGTTGATAAAGTGGGAGTACCTGGACTAGACTCCATATATGTTTGGTTATGAAATATGTTACCTAATTAATTCATTTAGTATTTATTAACCACTGTTTTCTTTTTCTGAAAATATAACAGTAATAGTATATATAGTCAGGTTACTGTACCAAAAGACCAAAAAGGGACCATGCCCAAAGTTAACAGTTATAATTCCTAAATCTGTTGCATCAATGTGATGTTTAGTTTCTTCTGTACAACATTCTGAGCTCTCTAAGGTATTACATATGTATGTTATAAATAAATAAATATATATTTATATACCTTACTTATAATCAGGAGAAAAAATAGCTTAAGCCCTAATAGGTAAGGTAGTGTATTTTGTTCGTACATTGAAATGTACATATAAATAAGAAAGGAGAAGATAACAACTATGTTGAGCTGGGCGTTGGTGGCACACGCCTTTAATCCCAGCACTCGGGAGGCAGAGGCAGATGGAACTCTGTGAGTCCGAGACCAGCCTGGACAACAAGAACTAATTCCAGGACAGCTTCCAACGCCACAGAGAATCCCTGTCTTAAAAAAAAAAAAACTATGTTGAGTAGTGAAACATTCTAAATGACTCTGTGTAGTCTACATGCATCCCTAAATTCAAAAGTTATCCAAAGTCTCACTTTTCTACTTTCTTATCTAATGCTGGATTATATTTATTCTGTAAGGAAACAGCCCATTCAGACACCACTGATAGCAGAATGGATGACATATCCCC